TCTCTCTCTCTCTCTCTCTCTCTCTCTCTCTCTCTCTCTCCTCTCTCTCTCTCTTCTCTCTTCTCTCTTCTCTCTTCTCTCTCTCTTCTCTCTCTTCTCTCTCACACACACACATTACACACAGTACACACGCGCACACACACACACACTCCCTCCACCCTGAGCTTCTAAAGAGAGAAGATGAAGGAAAGTGACGGTGAGCAAAAGGCCTGGGCAGGGCAGGCAACTTGAAGTTCACTGTGCAGAGCCCCGCAATCAGACAGTGGCCCCAACCGGCCAGGCGTCCTGCGCTTCACAGCTCCACGCCCGGCCTCTGATGCGGCTGCTTGGTGCCCAGCCTACGCGGCCTTGCGCAGCCTGGAGGGGGCTCCGTGACACGGGATGCGCTGGCCTTCTGACCCCTTGAACCGGGCGTCCTGCGCCCTGCGTGCGCTCCCTGCCACTTCGCGTATCATCCCCTGAGGATGAATCGCTGGCTGTACATTGCCCTGGAGTGGGCGAAGAAAGGCGGTCGATTAAATTGAGTCTCTCTTATGAGGAGGAAAGGACAAAAATGGACATGCACTGAATCTGTACCTCTGCTGAGCCCTAACTGACACGCCCGTAAGTCATCTCTGCGAAATGAGTTGTGGGAGTTGGGGTTCAGACCCTGCACTAATTCCCATGTCCAAATGCGTGAAACAGATGCCCCTTTGAGATATTTTTGGGTTCATGGTTTTGGCAACTTCCTTCTGCAAGACCTGGCGGCTTTAGCCTCTTTTAAGCTCAGAAAGACATTGAGGTGTTTTTTTTTTTTCTTTTCACGCATTTTTATTGTTGTTGTTTTATTCACAAATTAAACAGGAAACACTTGGTTACCATCCTTTAAAAATACACCTTTGCAGCATTAAAGGCTGTTCATTCTGTGGCATGTTAAAATGCTCTTAAAACTCCTTATAAAATAAGCTACCATCATAAGAGATGAGGAGAGATTAGAGGATTCTCCACAAAGCAACCAGGCGGTCAGGAGGATGCATAGCAAGAACTGAGTTTCTGTCTGTGGGGTAAATAACCAGATCATCCTAGATAATTAGGATGCGGTCAATTTTTAATATTTTCTCTTCCCCCTGGTTTCTCATACTCAAGCCCTCTGGCTTCCGTGTGTCCCAGGACCCGTCTTTCACCCTCGTTGCCTCTTTTTCTATTCTAAATACTTCTTTCTAGATCTTTCTTTATTCCTGAATCCATCCTTCTGCACTCCTCCTGATTCTGGTGAAAGCGTTGACATCTGAGAAGTGCTATACACCCCGAATTGCTCTCCCTCACTGCTGCTGGCTCCAGCGTATATCACTAAAGCTAGGGAACAGCCAGATTCAGGAGTCCTGAATGCTCGAGTCACCAACCAAGAGTGAAAATGGAATTTTCCTTGGCCCACCCGACACCTCCCCAGCCCAGAGCAGGAAGAGCTCTGTCTGCAGAAATAGTCCCTAATCACCCTTGCCTCTTCTCCAGCATCCAGAGAGAAATCCAGTGAGAGGCCTGAGTGAAAAAAAGACGTTTGCAGTACATGGTGGAATTCTTGTCTTTCTCTTGCTCTGCCTTTGGTACAGTGGCGGCAGCGGCAGCAGAAGCTGACTCATGTCAGCACTGGGCTGGGCTTAGCTCTGTCAGTGCTTGCAGGAAGGTTAGGGAGCCAGTCTGGGTAGTGTGACAGGGACAGAGAAAGCCACCTTCTAGCAGGCTCTGCACCAGGGTCCAGGGATATTGCCCTTCCAAGCCTAGCCCCAACATCCTGAGGACATCCGGGACCTGCAGACAAAGTTGAGATTCAGCCTCTGTGTTAGCAGCTGTGCTTTTGAGGGATTTGACTTTAGTTTTACATTGAGGCAGCCTTGTCAGTCTCTCTGTGACAGTCTGCTTGCCAGTTGTGGTGTGCACAGTTCCAGGCAGAGTAGGTAGGTATTTATTAAATACATCAAGCCAGGGAGGTGCCAGGTACAGATCCCAGATCTAGCACATATGAGTCATTGGGCCTTGGCTGTGTCATTTAGCTTCTTTCGGACTAAGCTTCAGCATCATGTGATGGAGATAACATCTTTCTAGACTGTAGGCTTCAGAGACAGTGTAAATCCCCAGCACGGTGCCTTCAGAGCATAGATTTTCAGTTCATGGCATGTGTTAGTGTTTTATTTGGAGATTTTTTTTTTTCTCAGATACCAATCTGATTCTGATGCTATCTCAGGGCCTAGCTAAAAGTTAATATTGACCATAATCTTGGTTGAGTCCCTTGCAGCACCACCTGATCTCACAGGAGTCAGTTCCTTCAGTCGGTAGACGCCCAGTAACCAGTGTGTGATTCCATGTGTGAGCCTGACTGCTGGTTGGAACAGAGCCCCAAGGCCCTGCAGACCCCTGGGGCCCCTCCTCCAGGGAGTCTGGCCATATGCTTCATGGCACACGTTCAGAGATTTGCCTTTTAGTGGGTTGGTTTCCTAAACCCAGGTGTGCCCTACATTTATTTGATCTAAGTCTTCTTGTGCTCTCTTGGGATGAGATTGTATCTTGTCAAAGAACCTCTTCCAAATACTCCCCCATAGATTGCTTCTCCTACCGCTGAGAATATCACTTACTATTGGTGACACTCACAGGACACTTTCACTGATTCCCCAGCTAGGTTTTTTATAATAAGAAAATTCCAGATCGCCCTCTACACATTAGCAACTAATATGTTTGATAGTTTACATGAGTACTCTCACATAGACGATCTCACTGTGGTCCCCCTTGGCCAAGCACAATGTCTTATTCAGAAGAAACTCTTAATGATCCATGCCATTTTGGGCTTATGATATGTGTGGAGTAGCTAAAATTATGAACCCGGCTTGTATATCTGTGAAGTAACCAAAGCTATAGTAAAAGAGAATTACCTCGGTGCCCAAATGTTACCAACAGCAACACATCACTATTAAGTCTGATGATAAAGATATGCATCTGTGTTTTTAAATAGGAAAATAAAGGGCTGGGGAGATCAGTCAGTGGCCTGCCTTGTGAACACAAGGTCCCGAGTTTTTTTCTTGATAATGTATGCTATGCTAACCCCAGAACTGTGAGCGTGCTATGCCAACCACCGAGACCGGGCATGGTGGCACATACCTGTAGTCCCAGTACTGGGGAGGCTGAGACAAGAGAATCACCATGAGTCCAAGCTGTGTAGTGAGACCCTGTACCAAATAATTAAACAAATAAATGAATGGTTAAATGAATAGGAGAATAAAATACTTCACTTTCATAAATAATCTTGCCAAATGACTTTCACACACATAAAGCCAAGTGTGAAATAGATGAAAGTGTGTTGAACAACTAAATCATATCCAGATTTAGATTTATGCTTCAACATTTACCTCTAAAACAAGTCTCTTATTGCTTATCTTTCATTTTTAAGTGTTAATGACCCAGGTAAGTAATCCATGGAATGATGTTTAACGATAAAAAATGACTCATAATGATTATCTATATTATTAATAATGAAAGTTTCTTAAAGCCACCAAACTTTGTAAGAAAGGCAGAGCTAATTTCAGATCTCAACATTGCCACCATAACTCCTCACTCCCTTCAGACTTTGACATCTGAGTTCTTAAAGCTACTGCTGAGGCTTTCTTGTCTTTGGCAGCATCTGTGGTCCTGTTCAAGATAAGCTTAGGTGAAGATGAGACCAACTTAATTCTCAAGATCCAAGTCAGTGGCCTAGCAGCTAGTTTTTGTGTATGCATCTATCTGGCAGAGAGGGATTACCAGAATACAGTCCTGCCTCTGCCCCTGCCTGGGGGTAACCGGCAGGCAGGCAGCAGGACAGAGCCATCCTAGTGCTGGGCATGAAGAGCCCTACTTGCAGTCCTGACATCTCACCTGTCATTCGCTGGGGAGATGTCTCTTTAACAGCCAACCAGTCCGTTCGGTGCATTTGCCAAGTGGGAGGGGTATGGCTTCTATCAGTCCTGCTCCTGGGATTAATTATCTTATCTCCACTCCTTTCCTGCCGCCAGAGCCCTGAGCTGCCACTTTGTCCCTAGCTACTCTGTCTGTCCTCACTGACTTCTTTTTCTGCAGGAAACCTTCCCATGGGTCCAGAGCTGCCCCTAAAGCAAGACTAGAGGCAAAACCAGCCAGCAGCCCGTTCCCCTCCCATCCCAGCCTGGCCCAGATCACCCAGTTCCGAATGATGGTGTCCCTCGGACATTTAGCCAAAGGAGCCAGCCTGGACGACCTCATCGACAGCTGCATTCAGTCTTTTGGTGAGTAGGCCGACTGCCCACGTGCATTGAAATTGCTCTCTTACTTTGTTCTTACCTTAAAAAGTGCTTTATAGAATAGCAACTTAGATTATATTTTGGCTTTAAAAATAGCTTTTGAGTCTTTGAAATGTTAGAGACAGTCTGCAGCGCCTGTGGCACATGACTGTGTGGGTGTGATAGGTCGTGATGAGAGGTGCAATTTAAAGTGAGAAAAGTTAGCGAGCAAAGTTTACATTTCCAGTTTTCTTAGGAGGGGGATTTAAAAGGTCATGAAACAATATCATGCACCTGATCACCTGGCACTTGTGCTCCGCTGTTCTTGGAGCAGATACTCTGTGGTACTCGAGCAAGCATTGTTTTAGAAGAAAAATTTGGAAGCCTTTGCATCATTTGGACGAGCAATTCTCTGTAATTCACTTTACAGTCTGGGGTTGTGATTGTATTTATTAACAGAAGATATTGGTTAATCAGCGAGGTGCTGAAGGGTCACGGAGCAGGGAAATGAGCGTGTGGACAGACATGTTAGAGGTGGTCTACCCAGACGTCACGCTTGGCCAGCTCCTGTGGGCACCGAGAAGGGTGCGTGGCTCAGCGACTGATGAACAGTAGTCTGAGAAGGTTCGTTTTTAGTTTTATAAGCACTGTCTTCCTTTAGATTACTGTTTGTGAAATAGTGATTGGGCAGTGCTAAGCATTTGTTTTACTCCAAGAAAAGATTAATTATAATGGATGAATTTTAGTGAAATCTTGTATTCAAAGATCATCTCCTCCCAGCATGCCCCCTTTTCTGTTTTTCTGCCTCACACTGGAAAGCAGATGAGTGTGTGGTTCTGCTCAGAAGGACCAACCTGCCCCATCCTGAGCGCCGCCCAGAGAGCAGAGGGCCAGCTTAATCAGATGCTGGGTAGTACAAGATGTATTAGATCTCAGAACTGTTCGCTGTTAGCTGGACATGGTTAGTGCTAAGCCAGACCTTATTTATAGAATTAGAAAAGGCTTTGATATCTGAGGGCTGTTCGTTTACTGTCAACTGTTTCCACAATGGTTTAAAGCTGTGGTTCCTATACATTACTGCATCAGAATCTTGTGGGTTTTTTTTTTTTTAATTAATGCAAATAGCTGGTCTCCACCCCCAAAGTTTCTGCTCCACTAGTTCTGGGGCAGGGAGGGACCAAGAATTTGCATTTCTGACAAGTTCATGGGGGATTCTAATGTAGCTTCTCCAAATACCTCCCTTTTTAGAATCATTACCTTAAAAGTGCTGTTTGTTGTAGACTTCGAAATAAGATGGGAAAAATTGTATTGCTAGATTAACTTTAATTTTTTCTTCAGTAATTCTTTGATGCTCAACTTAGGGCAAATTTAGGAGAAGAATGAATGACTGTTTCAAAATAATCTTAAAAAACATACACACAAGGAGATAAATACAATACAGTGGAGTCGTGCATGGTTGTACATGTCTACAATCCCAGCCCTTTGAGAGTTTGAGACAGGAGGATCACAAGTTCAAGTCCAGCTCTTGCAACTTAATGACATAACCAGGCACTATCTAAAATGACAAAATGAAAGGGCTAGGGATATAGCTCTATATGAAGGCCCTGATGTTCAATCACTAGCACTACCAGAAAGAGAGAGACAGGCAGACAGAGACAGAGTCAGTGAGACATGCAGAGGAGAGGAGACTAGAGAGGAGCCAAGGAACCAAGGGTGAGGGCAGCTACTTGGGACCCATTATTCAGATGTGCTATGGCATCACCTTGTTCCCAACTTACTTCCACTGCACTATCCCTTCCCCCTTTGGGCTGTCATGTTTACTTACTGGTCCTTAGCAGACTATTCCGTGTCACTTCACTGACTATTCTGTGCATAAAGATTTTTATTTTCTATTTCATATGTGAGGAAAGTGGGACAGTAATATATTTTTCATGCTTTTGCCCTCAAGCGCCAATCATTCCATTATCAACTGAGTGACTGACACTGTTTTCCTATCCTTCAAGTCTCTGTGACATCAACCTGAGAAGTATATGGCAAAGTCCTTGCGGATAACCAGTGGTAACCCTCTCTTCTCAAAAAATCTTGTAAGGGCAGTATTTTTTTTCCTGGAATACGTTGAACCAAAACAAAACCAAAAAAAAAGGCCTAAAATTCAGCTACTGTAGAAATCACATTAAATAATTAATAGTCTTTTACCCACTATCTAGAAACATTGATTAAGCCTATAATTACATCTCCACCTTGCTGGGCAGGACACAAGGAGAACTGCAGTGACCGAGCGCCTGTTCCATGAGTAGTTACAGTACCTGAAAAGCACACTGTTCAGGAAAGAAAGTATGCAAAAGACACGTGATCATAAACAGAGGCATGCAGGAGAGTAAGGTCTTTCTGCCCTGTAGAGTTCCAGTAAGTACATTTGATGGTGAGAATGAGATTTAGGAGACCTCCCTCCTTCTCCAAGGGCTCTTGGGATGTGGAAACGCAGAGGCAGTGAGGTAAGGTCTCAGGATGTCTGGCAGTGAGGGAAGGTCTCAAGGTGTCAGGCCGTGAGGAAAAGTCTCAGGGAGTCAGGCAGTGAGGGAAGGTCTCAAGGTGTCAGGCAGTGAGGGAAGGTCTTAGGGTGTCAGGCAGTGAGGGAAGGTCTTAGGGTGTCAGGCAGTTAGGGAAGGTCTCAAGGTGTCAGGCCGTGAGGAAAAGTCTCAGGGAGTCAATCAGTGAGGGAAGGTCTTACAGTGTCAAGTATCACAGTGTCAAGTATCAGGTATGCAGCTTCCTGTCACAGAATTCACATGAAAGAGGAAAGAAATATAGCCCTAGGTCTGTAGTGAAAGGGAACATGATTTGAATTCTTTTTTTATTCTTTGATTATTAGGTGACATACAAAGGGTGATCAAAATATACAGTGAATATTAAATACTTTTTAAATATATTATAACCACATGTGGTTCCAGCGCTGCCCCTGAGTGTGGCTGACCGTGGAGCCCTGGCATGGTGGCGCATGCCTATAATCCCAGCACTGGGAAGGCTGACACAGGAGTATCAGGATGAGCTTGAGCTCCATAGTGAGACCATGTACAAAATACATTTTAAAACATTATTATAGTAAAAGACACATTGTCATTAATACCCTTAAGATTCCTCCCCCTCATTTTGAACATACTTAACTTACTCCAACCTTCTTGTCACTTTCTGAAGCAATTCTGGAAATCCTGTTTCATGGGTGTCTTGACGATGTATAATCAAAAATCCAGTGACTGCGGCTGCCGAGTGCCATCCAGTGGAAAGGCAGACTGGTATCTGTGTGTCCCATCCACCTTGTTCACAGGACCTCACACCGTGTGAATTCTGGCACCTCCTCAAAGTCAGAGTGGCCATAAAAGGAGAATGTTTTGAATGGATTCAGGCCACCAAGGCAGCACAGCGGCCCAACTAAAGGCATGAAGAGGACTTCGGGGAGCGCCTCAGAAAGTGCCAAGAGCAGTGAGATAAATGTGTCCAAAGCAAGAGGGAGTCTTTTGAGGGTGACTAGTGTCATTGTGTCTTTTACTGTAATACATTTTTAAAAAAAATTTAATTGGGCTAGCCAACTAGCTCAGCAGAGTGAAGCACCTGCAAGCAGGCGCAGGGGCCAGGGCTTCGATCCCTGGGTCTGCATTGCCGGCGCCCCCCCAGGGGCGTGCTGAGATGGCAACTGAGACTGGGCATGGTGGTGCACACTTGTAATCCCAGCTTTTAGGAGGCTGTGAACAGGAGGATCACCAGGAGTCCGAACTAGTAGTGAGACCCTGAACACCCTGTAGACCTTTCCCTAACACACAGAAAAAAAAAAAAATTAATCATTCCCCATTTATTTTGCTCCTGCCTCATGTATGAGGGTACTGGGAGCTTTAGATTGAACTACCAAGAAAGTTGTTGGAAGATAAAGACTGGCTCATCCCACTACTTAACTTAATTTCTACTGTCTTCTTCATGTCACCTTCTTGCAGGTACTTTGAAGAGGTTTCCCTTAGCCAGGACTGTGCTGTCCATCCCATAGCTGTTGCCATATACGTTTTAGTCAGTTAAAATGAATATAAAATTTAAAATGAATATAAAATTTAGTTCCATGCCTCAGAAGCCATGGTTGAAAGTACCTTACACAGATGCTAGCTATGCTGGACAAAGTAAATGGAGACTATTTCAGTTATCACAGAAAGTCTGTCAGACAGGGCTGGAGACGGGAGGTGTTAGTGTTGAGGGGGAAGAGCAATGAACACATTTTCTGGAAGCTCGAGTTTTGCCTTTCATTGGTATTTTTTAGGTAACAGCCTCAACAGTGCCCAGAGTTTTGTGGGTATTCAGAAGTGTTTCCTGATGGCTGCTATCTCTTTGGGATCGTCAGTCATTAATTGTTGCCCACACTGTTCTCAGAGAGTGTATTATAGTGCTTTTAAAGGTGGGTAGCCTGGACACAGAAATTAAGGGTGCTTTTTTTTTGGGGGGGTCTTTTTGAGACAGGGTTTCATCATGCAGTTCAGGCTGGCCTTGAACACACTTTGTAGTCCAGACTGGCCTCAAACTCACAGAGATCCTCCTGCCTCAGCCTCCCAAGTGAGGCGATTACAGGTGTGCACCACCACACTGATTCTGAAGGTGTCTAGCAGTCCTCTGGTGTCTTGTCAAAGGTTACACTTTGGTGACTGGAAACATAGAGCCCCGAGTAGTCACAATTCACTGCAGTAGCCGTGAAGCAGCCCACTCCCAGCTTCTGTGCTGATCTCAGATCACACTTACATCCACAGCAGATTATTGCTAGTTGATCCAGTCTTCAGCGGAGCATAACAAGGCAGATCATCACAACCTGGTGCATTTATGGCAAATGTACGTGAATCACGCCATCTGTTTCAGAAGCAGAAAGACCTATGAGATCATCTCAGCTTTCAAAATGGTTTTCACATTGAAAAAGGGCTGCCAGCATGGGGGCTGAATGGAAGGCTTCACATATCCAAATTTACAAAGCTGTCTGC